TGCAACTTATAACAAATGCCTTAACCAATGGCTAGACTATAGACTAGACTAGACTAGACTATAGACTAGACTATAGACTAGACTATAGACTAGACTATAGACTAGACTATAGACTAGACTATAGACTAGACTATAGACTAGACTATAGACTAGACTATAGACTAGACTATAGACTAGACTATAGACTAGACTATAGACTAGACTATAGACTAGACTATAGACTAGACTATAGACTAGACTATAGACTAGACTATAGACTAGACTATAGACTAGACTATAGACTAGACTATAGACTAGACTATAGACTAGACTATAGACTAGACTATAGACTAGACTATAGACTAGACTATAGACTAGACTATAGACTAGACTATAGACTAGACTATAGACTAGACTATAGACTAGACTATAGACTAGACTATAGACTAGACTATAGACTAGACTATAGACTAGACTATAGACTAGACTATAGACTAGACTATAGACTAGACTATAGACTAGACTATAGACTAGACTATAGACTAGACTATAGACTAGACTATAGACTAGACTATAGACTAGACTATAGACTAGACTATAGACTAGACTATAGACTAGACTATAGACTAGACTATAGACTAGACTATAGACTAGACTATAGACTAGACTATAGACTAGACTATAGACTAGACTATAGACTAGACTATAGACTAGACTATAGACTAGACTATAGACTAGACTATAGACTAGACTATAGACTAGACTATAGACTAGACTATAGACTAGACTATACTAGACTATAGACTAGACTAGACTAGACTATAGACTAGACTATAGACTAGACTATAGACTAGACTATAGACTAGACTATAGACTAGACTATAGACTAGACTATAGACTAGACTATAGACTAGACTATAGACTAGACTATAGACTAGACTATAGACTAGACTATAGACTAGACTATAGACTAGACTATAGACTAGACTATAGACTAGACTATAGACTAGACTATAGACTAGACTATAGACTAGACTATAGACTAGACTAGACTAGACTATAGACTAGACTATAGACTAGCGGTATTCTACGATATCAAAAATTACAACAAAAAAAAATACTAAAGTGCTGAATTTTCCATGCCTGATCCAAATTATCTTGTGTTTTTTCTTTAGGAGAAGTACTTATACCTTTATATCTATAGGTAAGCTAATAAATTTAAACAATTTTTGAAAATTTATATGAATGAACTTGTTCGGTATATCTTGTAGCAAATTAGACTTGTCTTTTTCTCTGTATATAAAATATCTCTGTATATCCATATAATAAAACTATAACTATTTAGATAGATTTGTCTTAAACGTGTAATTGTTCGGTCACGCTATAAATATCTAGACACAATACTAGTATCCACTCATTATAATACCTATATACAGCTAAAACAGCGAGTAAGTACATAACGAGTACTATGCCAAAGCTAATTGAATGAAATATTTTTATTTTTCTTATTCAATTGTTAATTATTTGAAAGTTTATCATCGTCTGCATTGTATTTAAATAAATAATATTTAAATGGTGGAATGACTATTGCTTTACTCTCCAGACAGTCAAATAAAAGCCATAAATTTATTATGCAAAATAGTTGATTTTATATGCATTTTTTTCCAGCAATAATAAATAGAAAAATAAATATGAAAAAAACAACAACAACAGCACAAAGTGTATATCTAACAATAATAATAATACAATATCAATGATTAATTTACACTCGCAATCTTTAATCGCATTCATTCATAAATTCTTTAGAAGGCAGTTTTTAAAAGTATCATTTCTTAACAGAATGCTGTGCACAGAAATTTCGCCAAGCTGTGCACAGCAATATCATTTTTTTTATGCTGAGACATATTCAATCATGATGTTTTTGGGAAAAACTATGGGGATTTTATTTTAAAAATGGGAATTTTTTTGAGAACTTCCAGCCTTAGATTGGGGACATGAGTTAAAATTTTTCTGGCAACACTGCTTAAAAGTATCATTTTTTATAAAGGTTAAAAACCATAATAATTGTTTCTGTTCTAGATAAATGTCTTTACTAAGGGGTTGTGTTCTTACCTAAATTATTTGTAAATTCGAATTTAGCTTTCGTTAAACGTCCAGCAACGTTATACGCGTTTTTATTTTCTAAGTTGTGTGTTCGTTATGTTTTGTCATCAACCGTTAAAAACGTTTAACGTTAACTGGGTAATTCATGTAGCTGTGATTTCTTATAGTCTAGTCATGCACCCATTTAACAGAGTGTTTCATAGCCTAATACTGGTGTTTGTCTGGAATATTGAATTATAACCGAATAACGCCAGAGTTTGCGTTAGAAATTGGACATTTTTGCTGAGGCTCAGCAAAAAATTGTGAGCTCAAGTTTTACATATGAGGATCGGACAGACAGACAGACAGACAGACGGATATACATAGCTTAATCGACTGTGATTCTGAGCCAATTAGTATACTTTATGGTGGGTGTAGGACCAATATTTTTGGGTGTTACAAACATCAGCACAAAAGCATAATACCCTCCCCACTATAGCGGTGTAGGGTATAACAATAAAAATAAATACCATTACCGAATATTTTAACTCAGACTGTTTGAAAATACAAAAATCCAACCTTTAAGAGATGAAATAAAGGACGGATTTCAAACATTTCTTCTATCGTACGAAGAGAATTGCCATCTCCTGTTTGATTACGTTAAAGGCTTCTTTAATCTCAAAACAAATGTCTTAAGAGTGTCTGCCATACTCGTGACATTATCGTTATAGTACCATGATCAGTGATTGAATCCGGTGAGATGTGTTTTTTTAATAGGATGAAGCTACGTGAAATTTCGCGAAATTACTTACAAGGTGGTGCGATTTGACTACTCCTGTGGAGTCACGAGAAACGACGCCTTTGAGGCCAAATATGTTCGTGACACCATTAAACTTCCTTCTAGTATTTAGCAACGCATCTATTAGCAATCCCTTACCCATAATCAGTTCAAAATTTTTATACCCACCATCAAAAAATCATCGAAATATTAGTCATAGACCCACAAAAGTATATATGTATATTCTGGGTCCTTATTAAATTCTAAGACGATCTAGCCATGCCCGTCCGTCTGTCCGCCCGTCTGTCTGTTGAAAGCCCGATAGAATCCGAACGGAATGAGCTAGAGGGTTGAAATTTTCCACAAATTTTTTCTATAGATAAGGTTTGTTTGTTATTGAAAATGGGCAATATCGGTCCACTTTTTCGGATAGCCCCCATACAAGAGGACAGCTTTAACGGTATAGCGATGAAATTCGACATAAATAAGTTTCATATGAGCCAAAATCTGCCTATCAAATTTTATGAGGATCGGCCCATAATTCCCCTTCAGAAAGTCACTATAACGCTCATTACTGGCTTAAAAATAAGAATATAGCGATAAAATTCGACACGCATAAGTTTCGTGTGAGACAAAATCTTTCTAGCAAATTTTATATGGATCGGTCAATAATTAACCCTACTCCCCATATAAGGTCCCCTTGAAAAAATGACTTTAACGCTAATGTTACTGTCTTAAAAATACGACTATAGCGATAAAATTCGACAAATTTTATATGGATCGGTCCATAATTGACCCTACCCCCCATATATGGTCCCCTTAAAAAAAATACTTTAACGCTCATTACTGGCTTAAAAATACGAGTATAGCAATGAAATTTGATATAAGTAAGTCCCTAAAGAGCCAAAACCTCTTTACCAAATTTTATGTGGATCGGTTCATAGTTGACCCAACATCCCCCCCCCATACAAAGTCCCCTTAAAAAAATACTTTAAAGCTCATTACTGTCTTAAAAATACGAATATAGCGATTACAATTACACACATAAGTTTCATGTGAATACCAAAATTTTATGTGGATCGGTCAATAACTAACCCTACATCCCATATAAGGGGTCACCTTCAAAAAATGACTTTAACACACATTACTGGCTTAAAAATTGCTGGATTTTATAGCAATGAAATTTTACATAAGTAAGTCTCTTACGAGCAAAATCCTCTCTAGCTAATTTTATGTGGATCGTTCTATAATTGACCCTACTCCCAATATAAGGTCCCCTCCAGATCTTTATTGACTTAAAAGTATGAGTATAGAGATGAAATTTCACATAAGTAAACTTTTTACGAACCAAAACCTAAGAAACTTTTATAAGAACGTAAATCTTCCTACCGATTTTCATGCGGAAAGTGTCGGGAACTGATATTCGATGTAAAAACATGTTTTATATAAACCAAAATCGGTCTAAAAATAATTTATGAAAATCAGTCAATAATTCACGCTACTTCTCATATAAGGTCCTCTTCAGTAAATTTGATGAGTAATATTACTCTGATGTTTATAGGAGAGCCATTCCTTTTACGCTATACGGTTCGATGGTGGGTATATTAGATTCGGCATAGCCGAATATAACACTCTTACTTGTTAAATCTTAAAGTCTCTTTAGATAAGGTCAGTGACTTATCACATTTTTCCCTAAAATTAATCTTCTTCAAATCTCTGTATGTATGTATATGTATTATTTTGTGAGAATCGCAGACTTTCTATTTACTGATAAGAATAAACTATGCCTTTGCAAAACTATTCTTCCGAGCATTTGAGTTATAAGTTTGTCAGGCCGTTTTAAAACTCTCCTAAAATGCTATATTCTAATTCCGTATGGACCCACATTAATTGCCCTGTGACATATCAAATCCTTAGATATCCAACGATATTCAGGAATATGTAAGTTCGTATTTAAAAACTCCTATTTTTTTAAGGAAATTAAGTTTTTTTGGAATTTACTGAAGGGTGCTATGAAATTCGGATCAAGAGTACCTAACACTCTCACTTATTCTAAGTATTGAAATTAAGAGATAAGAAAATACTTATAGGTATGTATTTTCAAAAAGTAATTTTGCAGATTAAACCGGTGAATTTTTTCCTTGAAATATTATTTGTTTACAAATTAATGTCTTTAGTCTGTGTTCTAATATATTGGTGCAAACACTTTGCTGTTTAAAATGAAATTAAAAAAATATCTAACAACTAAAGTATTCATCTTAATAGTTGTAAATTTGTTTAATTTTGCAAACTCTTCACAAATTCTTACGAATAATGATTTTGCTCCAGAGGTAAACAAAAACAATAAACATTATCTTTTCAAATAGCTTGACATATACATACATATTTTTAAGAGTTCTAAATTTTAGGAAGGTGCAGATTTAGAGCTTGATGATCCCTGGTTACGTGCCCAAAAATATGAACAAAATGTTCTTGTGTAAGTTTTTTTTAATTTCTAATTAATTTAAATTTTTATAATTTGTTTCTCTTCTTATCAATTAGCATGGAAGAGAAAATAAAATATTTGTCCGAAACTTTTGATCAATTAGAACTGAAAATGCACACCCTTATTAAAGATAACATGGAATTATTAGAAAAAAATCTACAACAAATTATAGATGAAAAAATAACAAATATAAATCAGGTGGCAGAAGAAAAAATGAGTAAGTAGAATTTTAAATAAATTACAACAAGTTTTATAATTTTATATCGTTTAATATACACTTAATCTATATTTTAGAAATTATCAACAATGCCAAACTAACTTATAATGTTAACGAAGTCAAATGGTAAGGATCAAAATAAACCATTGAGAAACACATGAAAGTTTGTCTCAAAATTTTTACAAATATCTAAGTTGAAGTTAAATATAATTTTTAGTCTAGTCTATAGTCTATAGTCTAGTCTATAGTCTAGTCTATAGTCTAGTCTATAGTCTAGTCTATAGTCTAGTCTATAGTCTAGTCTAGTCTAGTCTATAGTCTAGTCTATAGTCTAGTCTATAGTCTAGTCTATAGTCTAGTCTAGTCTAGTCTATAGTCTAGTCTATAGTCTAGTCTATAGTCTAGTCTATAGTCTAGTCTATAGTCTAGTCATAGTCAGCTAGTCCTAGTCTATAGTCTAGTCTAGTCTAGTCTATTCGTTCAGTCTATAGTCTAGTCTATAGGTCTAGTCTATAGTCTCGTATCTATAGTCTAGTCTATAGTCTAGTCTTATAGTCTAGTCTATAGTCTAGTCTATAGTCTAGCTATAGTCTAGTCTATAGTTCTAGTCTATAGTCTAGTCTATAGTCAGTCTATAGTCTAGTCTATATCTAGTCTATAGTCTAGTCTATAGTCTAGTCTATTAGTCTAGTCTATAGTCTCAGTCTATAGTCTAGTCTATGTCTAGTTATAGTCATCTATAGTCTAGTCTATAGTCTAGTTATAGTCTAGTCTATAGTCTAGTCTATAGTCTAGTATATAGTCAGTCTATAGTCTAGTCTACTAGATTAGTCTATAGTCTAGTCTTAGTTAGTCTATAGTCTAGTCTATGTCTAGGTCTCTAGTCTTAGTATATAGGTCTAGTCTAGTCTAGTCTTAGTCTAGTCTATAGTCTCAGTCTATAGTCTAGTCTAAGTCTAGTCTATAGTCTAGTCTTAGTATAGTCTATAGTCTAGTCTATAGTCTAGTCTCTATAGTCTAGTCTATAGTCTGTCTATAGTTCTAGTCTATCGCTGTATATAGTCTAGTCTATAGTCTAGTCTATAGTCTAGTCTATAGTCTAGTCTATAGTCTAGTCTATAGTCTAGTCTATAGTCTAGTCTATAGTCTAGTCTATAGTCTAGTCTATAGTCTAGTCTATAGTCTAGTATAGTCTAGTCTATAGTCTAGTCTATAGTCTAGTCTATAGTCTAGTCTATAGTCTAGTCTATAGTCTAGTCTATAGTCTAGTCTATAGTCTAGTCTATAGTCTAGTCTATAGTCTAGTCTATAGTCTAGTCTATAGTCTAGTCTATAGTCTAGTCTATAGTCTAGTCTATAGTCTAGTCTATAGTCTAGTCTATAGTCTAGTCTATAGTCTAGTCTATAGTCTAGTCTATAGTCTAGTCTATAGTCTAGTCTATAGTCTATAGTCTAGTCTATAGTCTAGTCTATAGTCTAGTCTATAGTCTAGTCTATAGTCTAGTCTATAGTCTAGTCTATAGTCTAGTCTATAGTCTAGTCTATAGTCTAGTCTATAGTCTAGTCTATAGTCTAGTCTATAGTCTAGTCTATAGTCTAGTCTATAGTCTAGTCTATAGTCTAGTCTATAGTCTAGTCTATAGTCTAGTCTAGTCTAGTCTATAGTCTAGTCTATAGTCTAGTCTATAGTCTAGTCTATAGTCTAGTCTATAGTCTAGTCTATAGTCTAGTCTATAGTCTAGTCTATAGTCTAGTCTATAGTCTAGTCATATAGTCTATAGTCTAGTCTATAGTCTAGTCTATAGTCTAGTCTATAGTCTAGTCTATAGTCTAGTCTATAGTCTAGTTTATAGTCTAGTCTATAGTCCATTCAGACGTTTTAAACTTCCAAACAATAAATATATTTAAAATTTTTTTCCTTCTAGTTCCAACAATCGTTTACCCAAAAGTTGCCAAGATCTAAACGAATGCAATAGTAATATCTATAGTATAATGGTACCAGATATCAGCAATAAACCTTTGCCGGCTGTATGTGATTTAAAAACTTTCGATGGTGGTTGGACCGTTATACAGCGGCGACAAGATGGTTCTGAAAATTTCTTTAGAAATTGGACAGATTACGTAGAAGGATTCGGCAATTTAAATGGTGAATTCTTTATAGGTTTAGAAAAGCTTTATGCTCTTACCTCATTGGATGAACCCCAAGAATTATACATTACTTTGGAAGATTTTGATGGACAAGAAAGATATGCTAAGTATGGCCTATTTAAAGTTGACTCAAATAGTACGGATTACATACTAACGGTGGGTAAATACTCCGGAAATGCTGGTGATTGTTTAAGTCAACATAATGGTTATAAATTTTCAACCCAAGATCGTGATAATGATGCAGAAGAAAATAAAAATTGTGCCGATCACTGGAAGGGAGCATGGTGGTATAATAATTGTTTTTATAGGTTAGTATGTATATTATTATTGTTTTATTTATTTATTTATTTATTTTTAAATTTTAATTTTTAGCAACCTAAATGGTTTGTATTTGGGTGGCAAAACACCTCCCTCAAAGAGAGGCATATCCTGGTGTAAATTTCGAAAGTATGAGTATTCACTTAAGTCGGTAAAAATGATGATACGATCAAAGAGAAATTGACTATTTGAATCAAGGTTTTGGGATGTTATATTGAATACAAACTATTTTACAAAAGTTAATCCATAAGAATTTTATTTAAGGTAACTAATATAGCGAAATAATAACTTTAGATATTGAAATTCATAAAATTTTAAAAACAGGGTCTATTATAGGAAGTACTAAAATATTTATTAATTTGATATGAAGCTTTTTTAGGAATACCATGTATGATAAAATGTAATGAACTGTATACTATAAGTATCGTTAAAAATTGTTGTAATATGAATTTTTCTATAAAATATAAAACTTAAATTGGAAGAGTCCAAACTTTAAAAAGGCCAACCGTGTATTCAGTATCTCTAAAGGACATTTTATTTTAAAAATTTTGATGAAAATTACAAAATTAAAAACAACTTGTCTACAGTCTAGACTATATTCTAGTCTACAGTCTAGTCTGTAGTCTATTCTATAGACTAGTCTATTGTGTAGTGTATAGCATAGTCTATAGTGTAGTCTATAGCATAGTCTATAGACTATAGTCTATAGTATAGTCTATAGTCTAGTCTATAGCATAGTCTATAGTCTAGTCTATAGTCTAGTCTATAGTCTAGTCTATAGTCTAGTCTATAGTCTAGTCTATAGTCTAGTCTATAGTCTAGTCTATAGTCTAGTCTATAGTCTAGTCTATAGTCTAGTCTATAGTCTATAGTCTATAGTCTAGTCTATAGTCTAGTCTATAGTCTAGTCTATAGTCTAGTCTATAGTCTAGTCTATAGTCTAGTCTATAGTCTAGTCTATAGTCTAGTCTATAGTCTAGTCTATAGTCTAGTCTATAGTCTAGTCTATAGTCTAGTCTATAGTCTAGTCTATAGTCTAGTCTATAGTCTAGTCTATAGTCTAGTCTATAGTCTAGTCTATAGTCTAGTCTATAGTCTAGTCTATAGTCTAGTCTATAGTCTAGTCTATAGTCTAGTCTATAGTCTAGTCTATAGTCTAGTCTATAGTCTAGTCTATAGTCTAGTCTATAGTCAGTCTATAGTCTAGTCTATAGTCTAGTCTATAGTCTAGTCTATAGTCTAGTCTATAGTCTAGTCTATAGTCTAGTCTATAGTCTAGTCTATAGTCTAGTCTATAGTCTAGTCTATAGTCTAGTCTATAGTCTAGTCTATAGTCTAGTCTATAGTGTAGTCTATAGTCTAGTCTATAGTCTAGTCTATAGTCTAGTCTGTAGTCTAGTCTATAGTCTAATCTATAGTCTAGTCTATAGTCTAGTCTATAGTCTAGTCTATAGTTCAGTCTATAGTCTAGTCTATAGTCTAGTCTATAGTCTAGTCTATAGTCTAGTCTATAGTCTAGTCTATAGTCTAGTCTATAGTTTAGTCTATAGTCTAGTCTATAGTCTAGTCTATAGTATAGTCTATAGTCTAGTCTATAGTCTAGCCTATAGTCTAGTCTATAGTCTAGTCTATAGTCTAGTCTATAGTCAGGTCTATAGTCTAGTCTATAATCTAGTCTATAGTCTAGTCTAGTATATAGTCTAGTCTAGTCTAGTCTAGTCTATAGTCTAGTCTATAGTCTAGTCTATAGTCTAGTCTATAGTCTAGTCTATAGTCTAGTCTATAGTCTAGTCTATAGTCTAGTCTATAGTCTAGTCTATAGTCTAGTCTATAGTCTAGTCTATAGTCTAGTCTATAGTCTAGTCTATAGTCTAGTCTATAGTCTAGTCTATAGTCTAGTCTATAGTCTAGTCTATAGTCTAGTCTATAGTCTAGTCTATAGTCTAGTCTATAGTCTAGTCTATAGTCTAGTCTATAGTCTAGTCTATAGTCTAGTCTATAGTCTAGTCTATAGTCTAGTCTATAGTCTAGTCTATAGTCTAGTCTATAGTCTGGTCTATAGTCTAGTCTATAGTCTAGTCTATAGTCTAGTCTATAGTCTAGTCTAAAGTCTAGTCTATAATCTTGTCTATAGTCTAGTCTATAGTCTGTTCAGATCAAAATTCTTAGGTATATTAAAAGCTTGGAAATAAAAACTAAAGCTATGACTTGAATTAACTGTTTATAAAATCCACGGCTGAGAATACAAGTTATGAGATAAGAAAAACATTTTATTAAACCCACACAGACATCTGTAAGTATTTGCTGATTACAGCAGCCTGAACTTATTGCATTCTCCTTTAAATAATGATCATATTTCTTCAGTTGACTTAGTCTATTTTAAATTATTGTTGAAAATTCACTGCATTTTAAAAATGAAAATTAAACATTGTACTGCAATTAAATTGCTAATATTAATATTATTAAATATTATATATTTTGTAAAATCTTCATCAGTTCTTAATAAAAATGACTTCGCAGTTTTGGTAAGCAAGATCCCTAATTTGCGTCGTTTTTATTTTTAAATATAATTTAAAAATTTCTCCGATACTTATTAATAATGTAGAATGGTGTGTTAGAATAAGAAAAATGTTTGATAATTTTAGGAAGGCTCTGGTTTGGATGCCGATTTAATACCTTTAAATCATTTTGGATCTCCGGTATCACCATATGAACAAAATGTTATCATGTAACTACTCAATTATTTATTAACTAAAAAAAACTTTTATAAATTTTGCTCCAATATTATATATCAGCATGGAAGAGAAAATAAAATTTATGGCAGAAACCTTCAACCAACTGGAGCAGAAAATAAGTAGTCTTATCAATGATAATATGGAATTATTAGAAGACAAATTTCAGAAAATAATGGATGATAAAGTAACAAATATGAACAAAATAGTTGAAGAAAAAATTAGTACGTACAAATATTATAAAAATTGTATAATATACATATATTGATATAATCAAATCTGTTCGTATGTTTTATTTACAGAGATGATCGGTAACAGTAAACCCTCTTATAATGTGCAGGAACTAAAATGGTGAGAACTGAAAAATAATACTTCATATACATTTTAAATATTAGTTTAATTCTAGTTCAAGTTCAGTTCTAGTTCGTTTCTAGTTCAGTTCTAGTTCAGTTCTAGTTCAGTTCTAGTTCAGTTCTAGTTCAGTTCTAGTTCAGTTCTAGTTCAGTTCTAGTTCAGTTCTAGTTCAGTTCTAGTTCAGTTCTAGTTCAGTTCTAGTTCAGTTCTAGTTCAGTTCTAGTTCAGTTCTAGTTCAGTTCTAGTTCAGTTCTAGTTCAGTTCTAGTTCAGTTTTAGTTCAGTTCTAGTTCAGTTCTAGTTCTAGTTCAGTTCTAGTTCTAGTTCAGTTCTAGTTCTAGTTTAATTTTAGTTCAATTCTACTTCAGTGCTCGATCAGTTTTAGATCAGTTATGTCACTAGATATTACTTACATTCATCACAATTCATTTAAAAATTTTAACATTTTCAGTTCCGATAATCGTTTACCCAAAAGCTGCCATGATCTTAATGAATGCCATAATAATATCTACAGTATAATGTTACCAGAAATCAGCAATAAATCATTCCCAGCTGTGTGTGATTTAAAAACTGTGGATGGCGGTTGGACCATTATACAACGACGTCAAGATGGTTCTGAAAATTTCTTTAGAAATTGGACAGATTACGTAGAAGGATTCGGCAATTTAAATGGCGAATTCTTTATAGGTTTAGAAAAACTTTACTCCCTTACTTCACTGGATGAGCCTCAAGAATTATATATAAGTTTGCAAGATTTTGAAGGTGAAACACGTTATGCTAGATATGGACAATTTAAAGTTGATTCTGCGAGTACAGATTACACGTTAACAGTGGGTGATTATTCTGGAGATGCCAGTGACTGTTTAAGTCAACATAGTGGTAATAAATTTTCTACCAAAGACCGTGATAATGATATACATAATACTAGAAACTGTGCCGATTACTGGAAGGGGGCTTGGTGGTATAGTAATTGTTTTTATAGGTTAGTATATGTTTCAACATTAATATAGTGCATATATGTATGTACATAGTTATATTACATACTTTGAAATTTTAGCAATTTAAATGGCTTGTACTTGGCTGGAAAAATACCGTCATCGAAGAGGGGTATATCCTGGTGTGGTTTTCGTAAATACTTATATTCTCTTAAGTCTGTGCAAATGATGATACGACCAAAGAGAGATTGAATATTTAAAACTAGTTGTTGAATATTATTTTAAACAATCCATTAATCCATATAAATAAACTGTAATTTAATTTTTATAATTAAATATAAACTTAGAATGGAAAAAAATTTAATCTGTACTTTTTTCATTAACACAATTAAGAATAATGATAAGAATTTTTTTATAAAAAATGGTATTCTCACTTATTATCTTATTAAATCGAAGTGTGTTAAGTTTGCCTTTATGTTTGTACTCAGCGGAAATTTTCATTACCAAGTAATTGGTAAGTTAGGGAGAATCGGATCTGCTTTGAATATCTCCTAGACGTATTCTCAATTCGGTTTGGGACGGTTAAGAGTAGAATATTTAGACTGTTTAGACTGAAAAATGGGTCTAACACCTTCTCAGCTAGTGCCCTCCCTAGCTGTTATCGGGCAACTATTAACTAATGCACTTTAGTGCATTATCAAGATAATTTAGAATTCAAAATATTTTCATAAACCCATCGGGACAGTGTAAATGTTATTCGGTTATACTCAAAAAATTTGCATTAAAAAACTTTGTTTCATATAACTATGTATAACATATAAAATTTAAAAAGCATGTTTGAAACTAAGAAATAATTCAAAGACTTGTATAAATTGTGTTTAAGAAAATCCCCTTTTAAAAATATAAATTATGAGATAAGAAAACATATATAAAAATAATTTATTATACTCACTCAAACCTGTAAGAATCTGTTGATTACTCCAGTCACAGCCAACTGAATTTATATGATCATCATTTTTCTTAAGTTTCATTAGTCTATTTTAAATTATTGTTGAAAACTCATTGCATTTTAAAATGAAAATTATAAATTGTGTTACAATTGAGTGCCTGATATTAATATTTTTAAATATTATGTATTTTGTAAATACTTCATTAGTTCTTAATGAAAATGACTTTGCATTTGAGGTAAGCAAGATATTATTCCGATTTACACTAAGACACCGATTAGCTTAATTTTTATTTGTAAATTTTGGCGTCTTTATAATTTTATTTACGTTGTTATGACTTCTTTTTATCTGTCGTATTTATCCGATATTCATTAGTATAACAAATATTCACCTAAATATGTAAATTTTAGGAAGGCTCCGGTTTCGATACCGATTTAAAACCTGTAAATAATTTTGACACTCATGTATTATCATATAAACCAAATGTTGCCATGTAAGTAGTATTAAATTATGTTTTTTAATTAAATTAAACTTTAATCAAGTTTGTTTTATTAAAATGTATCAGCATGGAAGAAACAATAAACTCTATAGCTGAAACCTTCAATCAACTGGAACAGAAAATAAGCAGTCTTATCAATCATAAAATGGAATCATTAGAACACAAATTTCAGAAAATAATGGAAGATAAAGTAACAAATATGAAAGAAATAGTGGACGAAAAAATTAGTAAGTAAAAATTTAGTAATAATTTTAAAACATATGTATTTTTGTATAATCAAATCTATTCGTATCCTTTTGAACTTTTATTTACAGAAATGATTGGTAACAGTAAACCCTCTTACAATGTGCAGAAATTGAAATGGTGGGAACTGAAAAATAATATTAAATAGTGATTTTATCGATATGGCCGCTTTAATTCTAGATTGAAAACAATTGAAATATTCTAGTTCAGTTTTAGTTCAGTTAGTCTATTTCCAGTTCAGTTCTAATTCAGTTCTAGTCAGTTCTAGGGTTCTAGTTCAGTTCTAGTTCAGTTCTAGTTCAGTTCTAGTTCAGTTCCTAGTTCAGGTCTAGTTCAGTCTAGTTCAGTTCTAGTTCAGTTCTAGTCAGTTCTAGTTCAGTTCTAGTTCAGTTCTAGTTCAGTTCTAGTTCAGTTCTAGTTCAGTTCTAGTTCAGTTCTAGTTCAGTTCTAGTTCGTCTAGTTCAGTTCTAGTTCAGTTCTAGTTCAGTTCTAGTTCAGTTCTAGTTCAGTTCTAGTTCAGTTCTAGTTCAGTTCTAGTTCAGTTCTAGTTCAGTTCTAGTTCAGTTCTAGTTCAGTTCTAGTTCAGTTCTAGTTCAGTTCTAGTTCAGTTCTAGTTCAGTCTAGTCTAGTTAGTTCAGTTCTAGAGTTCTAGTTCAGTTCTAGTTCAGTTTCTAGTTCAGTTCTAGTTCAGTTCAGTTCAGTTCTAGTTCAGTTCTAGTTCAGTTCTAGTTCAGTTCTAGTTCAGTTCTAGTTCAGTTCTAGTTCAGTTCTAGTTCAGTTCTAGTTCAGTTCTAGTTCAGTTCTAGTTCAGTTCTAGTTCAGTTCAGTTCTAGTTCAGTTCTAGTTCAGTTCTAGTTCAGTTCTAGTTCAGTTCTAGTTCAGTTCTAGTTCAGTTCTAGTTCAGTTCTAGTTCAGTTCTAGTTCAGTTCTAGTTCGTTCTAGTTCAGTTCTAGTTCAGTTCTAGTTCAGTTCTAGTTCAGTTTAGTTTAGTTCTAGTTCAGTTTTTTTTCAGTTTTAGTTCTAGTTTCAGTTTAGTTCAGTTCTAGTTCAGTTCTAGTCAGTTATTGTTCTAGTTCAGTTCTAGTTCAGTTCTAGTTCAGTTCTAGTTCAGTTCTAGTTCAGTTCTAGTTCAGTTCTAGTTCAGTTCTAGTTCAGTTCTAGTTCAGTTCTAGTTCAGTTCTAGTTCAGTTCTAGTTCAGTTCTAGTTCAGTTCTAGTTCAGTTCTAGTTCAGTTCTAGTTCAGTTCTAGTTCAGTTCTAGTTCAGTTCTAGTTCAGTTCTAGTTCAGTTCTAGTTCAGTTCTAGTTCAGTTCAGTTCTAGTTCAGTTCTAGTTCAGTTCTAGTTCAGTTCTAGTTCAGTTCTAGTTCAGTTCTAGTTCAGTTCTAGTTCAGTTCTAGTTCAGTTCTAGTTCAGTTCTAGTTCAGTTCTAGTTCAGTTCTAGTTCAGTTCTAGTTCAGTTCTAGTTCAGTTCTAGTTCAGTTCTAGTTCAGTTCTAGTTCAGTTCTAGTTCAGTTCTAGTTCAGTTCTAGTTCAGTTCTAGTTCAGTTCTAGTTCAGTTCTAGTTCAGTTCTAGTTCATTCTAGTTCAGTTCTAGTTCAGTTCTAGTCAGTTCTAGTTCAGTTCTAGTTCAGTTCTAGTTCAGTTCTAGTTCAGTTCTAGTTCAGTTCTAGTTCAGTTCTAGTTCAGTTCTAGTTCAGTTCTAGTTAAGTTCTAGTTAAGTTCTAGTTCAGTTCTAGTTCAGTTCTAGTTCAGTTCTAGTTCATTCTAGTTCAGTTCTAGTTCAGTTCTAGTTCAGTTCTAGTTCAGTTCTAGTTCAGTTCTAGTTCAGTTCTAGTTCAGTTCTAGTTCAGTTCTAGTTCAGTTCTAGTTCAGTTCTAGTTCAGTTCTAGTTCAGTTCTAGTTCAGTTCTAGTTCAGTTCTAGTTCAGTTCTAGTTCAGTTTCTAGTTCAGTTCTAGTTCAGTTCTAGTTCAGTTCTAGTTCAGTTCTAGTTCAGTTCTAGTTCAGTTCTAGTTAGGTTCTAGATCCATTCAAACCTGACACTATTACATATTACATTCATCATAATTCATTTCAAAACTTTTATATTTTCAGTTCCGATAATCGTTTACCCAAAAGTTGCCATGATCTAAATGAATGTAATAATAATATCTACAGTATAATTTACCTGAAATCAGCAATAAATCGTTTCCCGCTGTATGTGATTTAAAATCTCTAAATGGTGGATGGACCATTATACAGCGGCGCCAAGATGGTTCTGAAAATTTCTTTAGAAATTGGACAGATTACGTAGAAGGATTCGGCAATTTAAATGGCGAATTCTTTATAGGTTTAGAAAAACTTTACGCCCTTACCTCACTGGATGAGCCTCAAGAATTATATATAAGTTTGCAAGATTTTGAAGGTGAAACACGTTATGCTAGATATGGAAAATTTAAAGTTGATTCTGCGAGTACAGATTACACGTTAACAGTGGGTGATTATTCTGGAGATGCTAGTGACTGTTTAAGTCAACATAGTGGTTATAAATTTTCTACCCAGGATCGTGATAACGATATACAACCCACCAGAAACTGTGCTAAACACTGGAAGGGAGCTTGGTGGTATATGAATTGTTTTCATAGGTGACATAGAAATAATTTAAAAACTTGAAAAATTTATTTTTTTTAACACATATTTTTTACATTCTAGTAACTTAAATGGCGAATATTTGGCTGGAAAAATTAAAGCTTCAGATGGTGGTATATCCTGGTGTGGATTTCGTAATTACAGATATTCTCTAAAGTCTGTGCAAATGATGATACGAACAAAGAATGATTAACAATAGAGGCGGACGTAGTTAAAAATGTACATTAGATTAAAAAAATCATATAGTTTAACATATTGGGAAACCCCTCTTTATGTAATATATTTTAATCGCCGCTGTTAAACACATAAAAAGACTCTCTCTCTCTCTTACAACTCAAGCTAAATAACTTATTACTTAAAAAACAATAAGTAAGTAAGTTACCTGTTACGACTATAGTAATAAATTTAATGACTATATACATTGCTTGAATATTTTTAAATTAGCGCTAATCTACAAAAATGTATAGAGTACATGTTTTTCTTATAAAAAATTGTCGCATTTTCTCATTTTTCTTTAGTCTAGTTTAATAAATTGTTGTAAACAGATTTCAGATTAAAATGAAAAGTTACCTCAATTACGTGGATAATTGTAATATTTCTAAATTTTAAAAATTTTGGAAACTCATCATCAGTTCCTAATAAAAATTAATTTGACTGGTGAGAAATTGATTGGTGAGAATTGGAGATGTAATATTCCCTAGACTTACTAACTGTTAAAAATATTGCAAATTTTGTGTTCTAATTCAGTTCTAGTTTAGTAGGTTTAGTAGTTAAGTAGTTCTAGTTCAGTTCTAGTTCAGTTCTAGTTCAGTTCTAGTTCAGTTCTAGTTCAGTTCTAGTTCAGTTCTAGTTCAGTTCTAGTTCAGTTCTAGTTCAGTTCTAGTTCAGTTCTAGTTCAGTTCTAGTTCAGTTCTAGTTCAGTTCTAGTTCAGTTCTAGTTCAGTTCTAGTTCAGTTCTAGTTCAGTTCTAGTTCAGTTCTAGTTCAGTTCTAGTTCAGTTCTAGTTCAGTTCTAGTTCAGTTCTAGTTCAGTTCTAGTTCAGTTCTAGTTCAGTTCTAGTTCAGTTCAGTTCTAGTTCAGTTCTAGTTCAGTTCTAGTTCAGTTCTAGTTCAGTTCTAGTTCAGTTCTAGTTCAGTTCTAGTTCAGTTCTAGTTCAGTTCTAGTTCAGTTCTAGTTCAGTTCTAGTTCAGTTCTAGTTCAGTTCTAGTTCAGTTCTAGTTCAGTTCTAGTTCAGTTCTAGTTCAGTTCTAGTTCAGTTCTAGTTCAGTTCTAGTTCAGTTCTAGTTCAGTTCTAGTTCAGTTCTAGTTCAGTTCTAGTTCAGTTCTAGTTCAGTTCTAGTTCAGTTCTAGTTCAGTTCTAGTTCAGTTCTAGTTCAGTTCTAGTTCAGTTCTAGTTCAGTTCTAGTTCAGTTCTAGTTCAGTTCTAGTTCAGTTCTAGTTCAGTTCTAGTTCAGTTCTAGTTCAGTTCTAGTTCAGTTCTAGTTCAGTTCTAGTTGAGTTCAGTTCTAGTTCAGTTCTAGTCAGTTCTAGTTCAGTTCTAGTTCAGTTCTAGTTCAGTTCTAGTTCAGTTCTAGTTCAGTTCTAGTTCAGTTCTAGTTCAGTTCTAGTTCAGTTCTAGTTCAGTTCTAGTTCAGTTCTAGTTCAGTTCTAGTTCAGTTCTAGTTCAGTTCTAGTTCAGTTCTAGTTCAGTTCTAGTTCAGTTCTAGTTCAGTTCTAGTTCAGTTCTAGTTCAGTTCAAGTTCAGTTCAAGTTCAGTTCTAGTTCAGTTCTAGTTCAGTTCTAGTTCAGTTCTAGTTCAGTTCTAGTTCAGTTCTAGTTCAGATCTAGTTCAGTTTTAGTTCAGTTCTAGTTCAGTTCTAGTTCAGTTCTAGTTCAGTTCTAGTTCAGTTCTAGTTCAGTTCTAGTTCAGTTCTAGTTCAGTTCTAGTTCAGTTCTAGTTGAGTTCTAGTTCAGTTCTATTTCAGTTCTAGTTCAGTTCTAGTTCAGTTCTAGTTCAGTTCTAGTTCAGTTCTAGTTCAGTTCTAGTTCAGTTCTAGTTCAGTTCTAGTTCAGTTCTAGTTCAGTTCTAGTTCAGTTCTAGTTCAGTTCTAGTTCAGTTCTAGTTCAGTTCTAGTTCAGTTCTAGTTCAGTTCTAGTTCAGTTCTAGTTCAGTTCTAGTTCAGTTCTAGTTCAGTTCTAGTTCAGTTCTAGTTCAGTTCTAGTTCAGTTCTAGTTCAGTTCTAGTTCAGTTCTAGTTCAGTTCTAGTTCAGTTCTAGTTCAGTTCTAGTTCAGTTCTAGTTCAGTTCTAGTTGAGTTCTAGTTCAGTTCTAGTTCAGTTCTAGTTCAGTTCTAGTTCAGTTCTAGTTCAGTTCTAGTTCAGTTCTAGTTCAGTTCTAGTTCAGTTCTAGTTCAGTTCTAGTTCAGTTCTAGTTCAGTTCTAGTTCAGTTCTAGTTCAGTTCTAGTTCAGTTCTAGTTCAGTTCTAGTTCAGTTCTAGTTCAGTTCTAGTTCAGTTCTAGTTCAGTTCAAGTTCAGTTCTAGTTCAGTTCTAGTTCAGTTCAGTTCTAGTTCAGTTCTAGTTCAGTTCTAGTTCAGTTCTAGTTCAGTTCTAGTTCAGTTCTAGTTCAGTTCTAGTTCAGTTCTAGTTCAGTTCTAGTTCAGTTCTAGTTCAGTTCTAGTTCAGTTCTAGTTCAGTTCTAGTTCAGTTCTAGTTCAGTTCTAGTTCAGTTCTAGTTCAGTTCTAGTTCAGTTCTAGTTCAGTTCTAGTTCAGTTCTAGTTCAGTTCTAGTACAGTTCTAGTTCAGTTCTAGTTCAGTTCTAGTTCAGTTCTAGTTCAGTTCTAGTTCAGTTCTAGTTCAGTTCTAGTTCAGTTCTAGTTCAGTTCTAGTTCAGTTCTAGTTCAGTTCTAGTTCAGTTCTAGTTCAGTTCTAGTTCAGTTCTAGTTCAGTTCTAGTTCAGTTCTAACCTGTCACTACCAATTCGCTTTAAAACTTTTTCATTTCCAGTTGCAATAGTCGTTTACCCAAAAGATGCCATGATCTTAACGAATACCATAGTAGTAGATCATTCCCAGCAGTGTGGAATTATAAAACTCTGAATGGGGTTGGACCGTATACGGCGACAACAAGATGGTTCTGAAAATTCTTTAAAAATTATACCGATTACGTAAAAGAATTCGGCAGTTAAATGGCGAACTCTTTATAGAATTGGAAAATATTTACGCCCTAACCTCACTGAGTGAGCCACAAAAATTATATATAATTTTGCAAGATTATGTTAGATATGGACTATATAAAGTTGATTTTGAAAGCACGCTCCATGAATTAACCGTAAGTTAATATGCCGGAAATGCTGATGTTTTTGTTGAAGTCAACATAATTTTTATAAATTTTTTACCTCAGATCGTGATAATGCTATACAATTTGCTAAATACTATAAGGCAACTTGGTGGTGTGCGGAATGTTTTCATAGGTTAAGTATACATATGTAAGTACATACATACAGTGTCTCTCATAAGTTTCGAATTTAATGTATTATGAAACAGACATCATTTTATAATAGATTTTGTGGGAAAAATAAATAAATAAATTTATTATGTTGTCCAGACAGTCCTTAAATTCTATACCTCATTTTAAAAATTAAAAAAAAAATTATTTACATAAACTAATTTAACTTTTTTTTAAAAAAGTGCAAAAAATAGCTTCACAAAAGTATTCGAATTTTTTGTATAAATCATATTTAGATTAGCATTATGAAGTAAAAATAAATAATTAAAATGAAATTAATGTTTTGTATAGTAGCCTTTGTTTTTAAAAACAACTTCCAAGCGTCGTGGGACCGTTTCTACCAATTTATGGAATAGTTCTGGAGTTATTATGTCCCATTCTCCATGCAAAGCAACCGTATGGTGGTTTTAGAGGATAATGAGTGATTTAAAAGTTGTTCTTGTAAATATAACCACAAATTTGGTGAAAGAAGATACTTAGTGTTGTTAATGATCAACATTTTCACGTACCAGGTCGTGTATTTTGGATCGTTTTTCTGTTGAAAAATAAATTGAATGGGTTGTAGCCCCATTTTGGTGGTACTAGCATGCAAATTCTGCTCTAAAATTGACAAGTGGACCTTCTAGTCTATAATTACAATAATAAATTTTAGCAGTCCAACACCGTGGACGGACACAGAACCCCAAAATATGGCAGAGCAACTTGGGTCCTTTACAATTGGTTTTAAGTTAGATAATTCCAAGGCATCTCCAAGCTTTCGCCATATCATTTGACGACCATCAGAGCCAAAAATATTATATTTGTTCTAATCGTAGAAGATAACCTCCTTCCAGAATCCAATATTCTTACTTATGAGTCTATTTGCGGAGTCAAGACACTTAACATCGATTAACTTCGATATGAGCGGTTTCCACCTTGGTACTTGACCATGCGAATTATTGCTCCCTAGTACTTTGCGCACAATTTCGACACTAATTTTTATTCACATTACTGTCATGAGTTCGTTGTTAATTTTTGGAGCTGATAGATGAAGGTTCTTTCGGTATTTCTTCAGTATTTCTCTGTCGTCCTGTATTGACAGCAGTTTTGGACGACTTGATAATGGTAAATACTCGACGGAATTCTTTGTTCCATGCGTGTAATGACAAAATATATTGTCGATGGGAATCTATCAACCATTTCCTATATATATTTAATTGATCGGCCTTGTTTATACAGATATAAATTAATTTTTTAATTTGAATTGATCAACTCTTTTTGTTTGAACATTTTAAGCGCTTACACAGGAAGGATTTACAACATAATTATGCAAATTTCCAAAAAATATAATGTTAAATATTCCATATAACCACTACCTGCATAATGGGTTAATTAATGGGCAATAAAACACGTGTTCAAGGATTCTAATAAAGTTCTTAGAAAAAATTCGAATATTTTTGTGCAGTACCTGAAATGACCCTTTTTGGGTTTTTTTCCATTTTCTTGGAAACCATTAATGATTTTTTATTACTTTTTTCTTGTATTTTGTAAAAATAATATAAATTAATAAAATTTCATTAAAAATTTTAAATACTATTATTATTTTTAAAGTAGCATCATACAATAACACAGTAATTCATAAAAAATAATAAATTCGAATATTTATGTGAGACACTGTACATATGTATGTATGTACATGTGGTACGTGTTCCTTTTATTTAAATTTTGTTATTTTTTAGCAATTTAAATGGTTTTTAATTGACCGAAAGAACTGTATGATCAAAGGTGCTTGGTATGTATGGCCTGGTTTGGATTTTATGATTAGAATTATTCTCTTAAATTTGTTCAAATGTTGATACAACCACAGAAGTATGCTACAAATGTTTATTAAACAATGAACAATAGAAATATTTAACTACAAAAACATAAAATTTTAATTTTTTTTTTTAAATTAACAGAAAATAAACAAATAGATATAAAATATATTTAACTTACTGAAAATGGGCACTATCTCAAAGAATTCCTTTAAAATCGTTTTAATACTTTCATAATATCTGAACATTTTTTTAAGTAACACTTTTTTCAATAATTAAACAGAATATATATTGAGATAAACTAATATCTCATAAATAATAATTTACTCTTACTCTTTCGCTTTCATAATAAATTAATTTCATTTCCTTTTATTTCTCATTTTCTTAAAACATTTGCACTTGCTGCTTTGTAATTTTAATTTTATTTCCTCTTTGCTACAAAAACAAAACCGACGATGGATACATACACAAAATAAACGAACGACGCGCTTCAACAAAAAACAACATTAACAACTGCGCTGCCGGCAGAGGTGCAAATTATTAACAGATTTAAAAACATGTATTTCTCATTAAATATTAACTTTTTTGCAAATATTTTTTAACATTATGATTTAATAACTATTAATTTATATTTATTTCATAAAATTATAATTAATTCAATACTTTTTAACACTTTTAAACGACTTTAAAATTAAGACACTATTAAGACGTGCACGCACCGTAAGAATTGCAAAAAGAGACTGAATGATGGATGCGAATGAATGCAATAATAAAAGTGAAGCTGTTACAGGAGCTTTTTTAAGTTAATAGAGTCGTCGTATAGTGAATGAGAGAAAATTCCAAATGAGCTTTAGCTTTATAACTCAAATGATTGTTGAAGTTTGGCATTTCCTTTACCAATAGCTTTGCATATTTTTTAATATATTTTTTTTACTATTTTAGAAAATAAATAATTTCTAAAACTGAGAAATTTGCAGAAAATAAAAAAACATCCATAGACAATTTTTCAACAAACTGACTAGACAATATGTTAGTCTATAAACTATAGACTCTAGACTAGACTATGGACTAGATTATAGACTAGTTTATTTGGTAGACTATAGGCTAGACTATAGACTAGACTATAGACTAGACTATAGACTAGACTATAGACTAGACTATAGACTAGACTATAGACTAGACTATAGACAAGACTATACCCCACACTATAGACTAGACTATACCCTACACTATAGACTAGACTATACCCTACACTATAGACTAGACTATAGACTAGACTATAGACTAGACTATAGACTAGACTATAGACTAGACTATAGACTAGACTATAGACTAGACTATAGACTAGACTATAGACTAGACTATAGACTAGACTATAGACTAGACTAGACTAGACTATAGACTAGACTATAGACTAGACTATAGACTAGACTATATACTAGACTATAGACTTGACTATAGACTAGACTATAGACTAGACTATAGAATAGACTATAGACTAGACTATACACTAGACGATAGACTAGACGATAGACTAGACTATAGACTAGACTATAGACTAGACTATAGACTAGACTATCGACTAGACTATAGACTAGACTATAGACTAGACTATAGACTAGACTATAGACTAGACTATAGACTAGACTATAAGACTAGACTAGACTATAGACTAGACCTATAGACAGACTAGACTATAGACTAGACTATAGACTAGACTATAGACTAGACTATAGACTAGACTATAGACTAGACTATAGACTAGACTATAGACTAGACTATAGACTAGACTATAGACCTAGACGATAGACGAGACTATAGACTAGACTATAGACTAGACTATAGACTAGACTATAGACTAGACTATAGACTAGACTATAGACTCGACTATAGACTAGACTATAGACTAGACTATAGACTAGACTATAGACAGACTAACTATAGACTAGAACTATAGACCTAGACCTATAGACTAGACTATAGACTAGACTATAGACTAGACTATAGACTAGACTATAGACTAGACTATAGACTAGACTATAGACTAGACTATAGACTAGACTATAGTATAGACTAGACTAGACTAGACTATAGACTAGACTAGACTAGACTATAGACTAGACTATAGACCAGACCTGGGATAAAGCATTAAATGTGTTAATGCATTAACAATTTTTTCTACATTAAAAAAAATTACTGTTAATGCAAGTTTATTGCATTAACATTAACGTGGGTACATTTAATGCATTAAATTTGCATTAACATTAAATATTTTTAAATTTAATGCATTAATTTTACATTAACATTAAATATTGTGAAATTAATGCATTAATTTTGCATTAACATTAAATATTTTTGAATTTAATGCATTAATTTTCCATTAACATTAAATAATAAATAATAAAATTAATGCATTAATTTTCCATTAACATTAATGTATAAAATAATTTATAAAAATAAGATACAGCGCTAAAGACCTCGGTCTAACTAAATTCAAGTAAAATTGAATGTGTTAAAGTCCTTTCTAATAAGTCCTATACTCGATAATACATATTAGAAGAATAGTATCACTTCCCAGATATTCCATTTTTAGTTTATTTTGTTAAAGTCCTTTCTAATAAGTCCTATACTCGATAATACATATTAGAAGAATAATATCACTTCCCAGATATTCCTTTTTTAGTTTATTTTGTCTGTGGAATCTTATATAAATATCATATTTAAAACACACAAGTTTGAATGGAATATAGGAGTTATTAGAAAGGACTTTAACCTATTTAATTTTAGTTGTTTAGTTAGATCGAGGTCTTTTGAGCTGTATTTTTATTTATGTTTATCAATTTTATATATATTAATGTTAATGGAATATTAATGCATTAATTTTATTGCTTATTTAATGTTAATGTAAAATTAATGCACTAAATTCAGATATATTTAATGTTAATGCAAAATTAATGAATTAATTTCAAAAATATTTAATGTTAATGTAAAATTAATGCATTAAATTCAAAAATATTTAATGTTAATGGAAATTTAATGCATTAAATTTAAAAAATTTAATGTTAATGCAATATTTTTTACATTAAATTAATTTTTTTTTAATTTAATGTTAATGCAAAATTAATGGAAATCGCCCAGGTCTGCTATAGACTAGACTATAGACTAGACTATAGACTGGACTATAAACTAGACTATAGACTAGACTATAGACTAGACTATAAACTAGACTATAGACTAGACTATAAACTAGACTATAGACTAGACTATAAACTAGACTATAGACTAGACTATAAACTAGACTATAGACTAGACTATAGACTAGACTATAGACTAGACTATAGACTAGACTATAGACTAGACTATAGACTAGACTATAGACTAGACTTATAAACTAGACTATAGCCTAGACAATAGAAAAAATATAAACTGGAGATTTTAGTCATATTTCTATCAATTATGTACGGAATTTGGTTTGAAAAGTAAATATACCCAGCAAAAACTGGGTAATGGCTTTCAATTGTAATTACTTACCTAACAACATACTTTTCAATGACTACAATATATGGTCTGGATTATATAGAAGTAGTCTAATAAGGTCTTACTAATAATGTGTTATATAAATACTTTCTAATTCATTAGTCATCTTGACGGTGAAGATACATATGCTGTATATGTTTATTCATGTGATTTACAATGACTCCTTTTTCTAATTACTTGTAATAATTTGTGGTAAGTACTTGCCTCCAATGACATCACCGTGTTAAAATAATGACTTAAAATGCTATTGTGTAAGTAAATTTTAACATTTTAACTTCTTACATGGTAATGGAAGTTTTTACTGGGTACTTAAATAGAAAAAAATTTTCAACAGATTTTTTTTTTTAGTTTTCAAATTACAACTTTTTAATAATTATTTAGTTTTTAAAGTAGTAAAAAAGTAGTAAAAGTAGTAAAAGTAGTAAAGTAGTAAACATTTTTAAAGGAAATACTAAACTTCAACGCAACAATCATTTGCATTCCAAAGCTCATTTTGAATTTTCTCTCATTCACTGTACGACGACTCTATTAACTTAAAAAAGCTCCTGTAACAGCTTCACTTTTATTATTGCATTCATTCGCATCCATCATTCAGTCTCTTTTTGCAATTCTTACGGTGCGTGTTCGTCTTAATAGTGTCTTAATTTTAAAGTCGTTTAAAAGTGTTAAAAAGTGTTGAATTAATGATAATTTTAGGAAATAAATATAAATTAATAGTTATTAAATCATAATGTTAAAAAATATTTGCAAAAAAGTTAATATATAAGGAGAAATAAATGTTTTAAATTTGTTAACATGTTGCATATCTGCCGACAGCGTAGTTGTTAATTTGGCTTTTTGTTGAATCGCGTCGTTCGTATATTTTGTGTATGTATGTTGTTGTTGTTTTTGTATAGTTGTATAAAAGAGGAAATTTAAATTACAAAGCGAGTGCAAATGTCCTAAGAAAATGGAAATGAAAGTAAAATGAAAATATTTAATTTTGAGAGCAAATAAAAAGAGAGCGTAAAAAATATTTAAGAGAAATTATATTTTGATTGTAATTAATATTTCTTGATGAAAATTATGTTTGGATTAGCTTGTGAACAAGATACTTTCGAATGCCGTAAATCAAGATAGAAGGAGCTCTTTGGGTATTTCCGGGTAAGTTTTTGTTATTAAGAGATAAAATTTACAATATAACTAACTAACTAACTAACTAACTAACTAACTAACTAACTAACTAACTAACTAACTAACTAACTAACTAACTAACTAACTAACTAACTAACTAACTAACTAACTAACTAACTAACTAACTACTAACTAACTAACTAACTAACTAACTAACTAACTAACTAACTAACTAACTAACTAACTAACTAACTAACTAACTACTAACTAACTAACTACTAACTAACTAACTACTAACTAACTAACTAACTAACTAACTAACTAACTAACTAACTAACTAACTAACTAACTAACTAACTAACTAACTAACTAACTAACTAACTAACTACTAACTAACTAACTAACTAACTAACTAACTAACTAACTAACTAACTAACTAACTAACTAACTAACTAACTAACTAACTAACTAACTAACTAACTAACTAACTAACTAACTAACTAACTAACTAACTAACTAACTAACTAACTAACTAACTAACTAACTAACTAACTAACTAACTAACTAACTAACTAACTAACTAACTAACTAACTAACTAACTAACTAACTAACTAACTAACTAACTAACTAACTAACTAACTAACTAACTAACTAACTAACTAACTAACTAACTAACTAACTAACTAACTAACTAACTAACTAACTAACTAACTAACTAACTAACTAACTAACTAACTAACTAACTAACTAACTAACTAACTAACTAACTAACTACTAACTAACTAACTAACTAACTAACTAACTAACTAACTAACTAACTAACTAACTAACTAACTAACTAACTAACTAACTAACTACTAACTAACTAACTAACTAACTAACTAACTAACTAACTAACTAACTAACTAACTACTAACTACTAACTAACTACTAACTAACTACTAACTAACTAACTAACTAACTAACTAACTAACTAACTAACTACTAACTAACTAACTAACTAACTAACTAACTAACTAACTAACTAACTAACTAACTAACTAACTAACTAACTAACTACTAACTAACTAACTAACTAACTAACTAACTAACTAACTAACTAACTAACTAACTAACTAACTACTAACTAACTAACTACTAACTAACTACTAACTAACTAACTAACTAACTAACTAACTAACTAACTAACTAACTAACTAACTAACTAACTAACTAACTAACT